GTGGTACATGCTGACCAACGAGAAAGGCTATTTCTAGCCAAGGAGACTGGCACTTGACAAACATTAGTAAATGACATGGAAAACAAGGCTTTTTTCTTCGTTCCCTTTCTGTGCCCAAAGCAGCACACATGCACCTTTAGACAGCTCTGACAGCACGAGGGCAAGCAGGCCTTACCAATCCTCTCAGCTCTTCAAACAACACTTGAGGATTTCTACTTGAAGGCCTGTCTTTCTGAGCTTATGCTTTCAAAACTTGGGCTGGACTGATCCCAAATACTGAAGTAACAAATATTACTAAATTCTGTCATTTCCTCCACCAAAAAAGTGATTTTACTACTACTTCTGGTGGTGATGAAAGGTCCTATTGACTATTCAAGTCCTCAACCAAGTTATGGATGCAGTATTAAATGACTTCACTCCTTTTTCTTTGGCTCTTTAACACATGCCAGCGCTTTCATCCACCTCCACTAACGTGGTGTGTAAATGACTGAGGTGGGGCCATTTTACTTGTGTGATTTGTTCACATCTCCGGAGGTGGGGTATATATGTGACTGGCTGAGAAGACAAACTCCCTTTTGACAATATGTCTTAGTATATATGAATATAAAAGCAAACCTTCAAAACCTAGATGTATCTTATTGATATAATGCCTGGTTAACATCTTTAATAATTAAAGATTACAAGTCAGATATTTTTAAAAAGTGATGTTAGTGAGGTCAAAGACAAATTAAAACAATCCCTACAAAATACCAAGACACAGAACAGATAGCTTCAGTGAGGAAAACCAAAATGAGAAGTTTCTGTCTAAATGTTCAAAGGAAGCCTCCTGAATGAACTTCGACATTTGAGAAAATCCGTTTATAAGAAGTTAAAATCACCACTTGCAGACCTGTTGCTGTCAAGTCTTTTCCGATTCATAGAAACCTACTGGACCCAACTGCCTCCTAGGGTTTCCAAAACGGTGATCTCCGTGGAAGAAGATCACTACATCTTTCTCCTCTGGAGGGAGGGGTTGATCTCTCAGTTAGCAGCCAAGTAAGCACTGTGCCAGCAGGCAGAGCTTCGTAAAATCACCACAACAGTGATGAAACAACACCAGAGGCCAAGAGACTTGCTCCCTATGGATTCTGAGTGATTAGCTTATCAAGCACACACACACACACACACACAATTTCTCAACTTTCAAACAACTGCACATAGTTGAAGAGGCACAAAATTACAAGAAGTAATCCATCATTTGGGGGGTCTGGTATGGTACTATAGGATATGCACTGAACTGGTCACTGCAATGCTGGCAATTCAAACCTACCGGTTGTTCTTGGAAACCCTATACAGGGTTTTGTGAGTCAGAACAGACGTGAAGGCACACAACAACAACAACAACAATCCATTTGGCAAACTGGGGCATTGTTTCAGTTAAGAAATATAGGCCGAATAAAGTCAGTGGCTCCTTTTCTTTCAGTCTACTTAGGAAGTACTCCAACGTTGGAATCAAAACAGGAGTGACTGCTGGTAGAGAAGGCTGACTTTCCTAAGAGTTCCACTGCACACAGTCAGTCCTTGCCTGGTTTTGCTCTCAAAGCAGGCAAGGCTTTCTTAGCGCCGCTTGATACCATCCTTTGATATTCCTATTGGGCCTAGAGAGGTGTGGTTGAGTGCAAACATGTGCATGTGGTTTTGAAACTAGGAATTATGAGGAAATCCAGGCATTTTGGCCCCAGACTTAATCAGGAGCAGGTTTCATCTGAAATCATCCACAGTCTTCTGAATTTAGAGTCTATGTACCTAGAGGAAGACGCTGAACACAGGGTATGAGAAAAGCAGCTTTGAACTCAGATCAGAACTTCATTCTACTTTGTGATACTAATCTTACTGACATTCTGAATTTCAGTCTATGGAGCTCTAGTATTCGTCTTTGTTTTACAGTGGCTGCCCTCATAGGTGGCAGGCACTCTCTAATGCTCTTAGATTTCTTTCTTCCTTACTGAATTCTTAGTCTGGGTACGTCTTAACCAGTTCTGTATCACTACTGCCTTTTCTATGGTATGCCAAAGCTGGATCAGTAGACTGTGAGCTTATCGTTGCCAAGTGCTGTCAAATTGGTTCCGACTCACAGAAGCCCTGTAGAGGGCTTCCAAGGAGTGGCTGGTGAGCTTGAACTGCCAACCTTGCGTCCAGCACATTAACCCACACCAGGACTCCAGACTGTGAGTTAGGTAGCCTCAAAATGAAGAGTATTGTTTCTTAGGCTGAAATACTTGTCTGCCAAAGATGGAGGAAGGAAAGCCACAGTTGTGGGAAGAAGTGCACACACAGGGAAAAGACAAAGGCCAGAGACTATTAGCTAGCAAAGCTACCTGCCTGGAGTGAAGAACGAGTTGAAATAAAAATAGCTCTCAAGAGCGGTGTGATTGGGAGGGCCACGAGGCATCTCAGGAGGTTGTGAAGCAAATGACTAAGGACTAAAAACTAGAAATTTGACTATCAGAAAAATATGTGAATCTCAACAAAACTCAAGTTAAAAAATTTAAATTAAGATTACTGAGGTGAAGAAAGGCGAAGACGATACCATATAGAGGAATAATTATAGATTTATCAGACATGAATAAGGTAATTGTTCAGCAAGTCTTTGGATTCATATAGATACAGAACAATGAGGGCTAAACAAACAAACAAACAAAAAAACCACACCACAAATCCTACTGCTTCTGTAAAACTAGAAAGTCTATGATTACAGCTGATAATGTACTTAAAATAACAACAAAATAAGTACTAATCCATGTAATATTCCAAGGGGAGGATGTCCAAATAAAAACATAAGTACTGACACTGGTCTTCCTTTACAAGTAGAAAATTTATGGAATGTCTACTTCCTTAAAGTAGAGCCAAGCATGCTAAAGAAATGCTGCATATTTCTTTCAGGAAAACACAAACCCAGGCATCTGAAAGTCTTTCTATGATACGTCGTTGTTGTTGTCGTTAGGTGCCATCGAGTCAGCACCAACTCATAGCGACCTGATGCACAGCAGAATGAAACACTGCCCGATCCTGGGCCAACCTCACTACTGTTGGTCACTTCTATGATATGTGAAAACACATAATTTAAAAGTACCATATTAACTGGTACGATGTAGAAAGAACCACAAAAAATCCAGGAAGAGTTGTAAGGACTTTTGTACCCTGGATAATAAGGTGAGGGGACCATTAAAGACTTGCCAAAGGCACTAAGTTTTCACTCAGTAAACAACTCTGGAAGCAAAGTAAGTCCCTATGGGGTATTTAGATAAGTGAGAAAAATGTTGTTGCCAGTCAAGCTGCAGAGGGGCAAGATGTTATAAAACCCGACACATCCTACAACAGCATATGTTGTTGTTAAGTGCCTTCGAGTCAGTTCTGACTCACAGTGACCCTATGAGGCTTTGAAAATCTTTGTGGGAGCTGAAAGCCTCATCTTTCTCCTGCAATCTGGCTGGTGGGCTTGAATCGAGGAACTTGCAGTTCACAGAGCAGTGCTTATTGTCCACAATAGATAAGAGAATAAAATATCTTGGAATAAACCTAACTAAGGGCGTGAAGGCTTATACAATGAAAACCATAAAACACTGCCAAAAGAGGTTAAAGATGACTTAAATTAATGGAAAGATGTTCCATGTTTATGGATTGCAAGACAAAATGTCGTTCAAGATGTCAGTACTGCCCAAAGTGATCTCCAGATTAAATCTATAGTGATCAATACAATCCTGATCAAAATGTCAGCAGCCTTCTTTACAGAAACAGAAAAACCAATCCTCAATTTCATATGTAATGGTTGTTGTTAAGTGCCATTGAATTGGTTCCAACTCACAGTGACCCTGCAAAGGGTTTCTGAGGCTTTAAATTTTTGTTGGGGCAGAAAGCCTCATATTTTGCCCATGGAGCAGTTGGTGGGCTCAAACCACTGACCTTGTGGTTTATAGTCCAGTTCTTGTTGCATATGGAATGGTAAGAGGCCCCAAATAGCTAAACCAATATTGAATAAGTGAACAAAGACTCACATTTCCTGATTTAAAACATACTATAGCAACAACTTAAGGCACACAACCTGGTGTTGGACTCCTGGTGTGACGCTGCTAGAGGATAAGCACTGGACTGAAAACTGCAAGGTCGGTGGTTCGAACCTACCACTGCTCCTTGGAAACCCTACACAGTTCCTATGAGTTGGAACTGATTCCATGGCACATAACAAAATAAAACTAGAGAAATCAAAACTGCCTGATGCTAGTATAAGAACAGACACATAGACCAAAGGAATTGAGAACAGAATTTCATATTCTCATGGACTCTAGAAAGTCTGGGAGCCACGAGGGTGGGTAACCCCTGAAACGATTGCCCTTAGATAATCTTAAACCTTAAGCCAAAAATATCTCCTAGTATCTTCTTAAAACCAAACAGTTGTATTGCTTAAGTAAGTGAAAAAAGGTCTGCTTTGGGCATATGCTTTTGTCGGAACTATCTACATGGTATTGAGAACAGCACCAGAGAAAGATGAGATAGGAACCTCAGGGGGCAGTGAGTTTACGTTTTTGAGGAAGGAACAACCCAGAAAAGGAGGATAAGATTATTTGCACAATTCAAAGAAAGTAATCAATGTCATTAAATTGTACTTGTAGAAAATGTTGAATTGGTGTATGTTTTGCTGCATACTTGCTCAACAATAACAACACAATAAATAAAATTTAGCGAGGTAAAAAGTGAAAGCACACACTCAAATACAGTCTATTGACTAGTAACAACACAGAAAAGAGTTTGGCAGGAAGATTCACCCACTACTTCCCTGCAGTTATTATAGTTTATTATAGTGGCATAGAGTAAGAGGGTTAGCAATAAAGAAGTCTGTAGTGTCAATTCAACAGTTGAATAAAAGGGTAGATTGCAGTACCTAGCTACATGTTAAAAAGTTCTTAGTAATCTGAGGAAGTAAGTTGGATGTGGGAAGTAAGAATAAAGAACAGGTAACTTACCTGCGCTATATTTTTGTTCAGAAGATAGACACCATAATCAAATTGCAACTTCTCACTTCCTTTTGGATACAGGGGAAACCTAAGGAAAGTAAATAGAGATCAGAAGTTTTCTAAAATTACATAAAAACTGCCTCCAAATTGTTGGCAAGGATCAAAGTTTCTTTAGATAGAAAATAAACATCTGGAGAATTAGACTAAATTACTTCATTACAGTTAGTCACTGTAATCTATTAACATCTTTATAATATTAGTCAAATCAGAACAATGGCTGCTCTCTTTCAAAGGAACAACTGAATAGGTCATGCAACAGGGACTAACATATAAGAAAGTGAGCCCCTCTTCCTATTTACATTTCATGTGCCTGCCATGCTAAGATTAAAATCCTAGAAAATGTTTCCAATAACACCTTAGATCTGGCATCTCACCTTGTACTAAATGTGAAAGGAAGATTAAGGAGGACACATCAGATTTTAAAAGGAGTTCCAAAGGTTTCTGTTTCTATTCAGGTGGCCAGTCAAATCAACAGGATCAAGAAGAGCCAAAATCCATTCCTACTGGGGTGTTAGTTCCCCAAGGTCACATGTCCAGGCCACAGAACTCTGAAAAGACTTTTCCATTTAACCTGACTCACTGCAAGCAAGAAAGGCATGAAATCCATGCATCGTCATAAACATGAGCTATTTAAGGACAAAAAAATTCCCTCGCATTTTTCTTTCCTACCACCCATACAAATGAAGAAGAAATGGCTAGAGTACATCTCATATTCTAGTCCTTTTTCTCCCTGACCTGATTCTGAAGACCAAGCATACATTTGATCCTCTGAAACAGACTTCTCCATAAATGGATCAATCACAACTTGGAGACAGTCAAGAAAGCTTCAGCTACTTTACTATCAAGTATATGATTATTCTAAAATATAAAATAATCTTACTGAAATGACAATTGCTGTTAAGTGCTGTTGAGTCAGTTCCAATGCATAGTGATCCTATATAAAGTTTCTGAGGAGCGGATGGTGAGTTTGAACAGTCAACCCTGTGGTTCAAATCAACCTTGTGGTCCAGTGCTTATCCAAAGTGCCACACCAGGACTCCAAAACACAAATGCTAGGCTCGAACTGTCATCCTTGTGGTTATAGTTCAGTGCTTAGCCTACAGAGCCATACGTTAACTACTGAAACAAATGGTAACTGACAAGTATTGGATAGTCTTAATTTGCATTGCTTTTAATTGCCTAGGGGGAAGATGTATTCCGTAAAACTTGGAGAATATGGTTTTTCTAGGAAAAGTTAAAGAAAGGAAGTAGAATTTAATAGCTTTATATAAAATTCTCAAGGGGCTGGTTACATAGTATCCAAAAGGCAAATTTGTTGTGTGGTAGAATTACAGGCACTGGGGCATGAAGAAGGTCATGAACTATTTATTATCTACTAAAGGAAACCCTATACAGGGTGGCCAGGTGTCAGAACTTAACAACAAAGGAACACTAGGAGCTCTGGTGTGGCGCTGTAGGATAAGCCTTGGAATGCTAGCCACAAGGTTGACAGTTCAAACCCACTAACCACTCTTTGGAAACTCTATACAGGGTCGCTGTGAGTTGGAACGGACTCAACGGCACTTAAATACAACAAGGGAGCACCAAAGGAGCCCTTGGTGGCCCTGTATGTTAGGTGTGGAGCTGGCAATTTCAAGCCCACCAGCCACTCCATGGGAGAGAGCTGAGGCTGTCTGCTCCTGTAGAGATTTATAGTCTCGGAAACCTTGTACAGGGTTGATACGAGTTGGAATCAAGTCACTGGCAGTAGCTTTCCATTTGAAAGGAACACCAAATGCTTCAGACATACATCAGGAAGATACAGCTTTATATCTTCCAGCAAAAATACAATCTGGTAGAGTAAAAAACGAACTGGCACACATGGTTTAAGTTCAAATTGCGATGCATAAATATGACAGCAATGCCATTTCTGTCATTCTTATATCTTTACAGTTAGTTTGTTTGCAAGCTGTTGCTGTTAAGTGCCGTGTGAGTCAGTTCGGACTCATAGTGACCCTGAGATGGGTTTCCAAGGAGTGGCTGGTGTGTTTGAATTTCCAATCTGTAGTTAGCAATCCAGTGCTTGTCCTACACTGACACACCAGAACTACCCCAAATAGGTTTAAATGGTTCCAAGACACCCTACAAAAGCCTAATGTACTTTGCTTTTTCTGAATTTGCTTTGCTGTCATTTTTCTGTATTTCAACTACTACTTCATTGAGATATCTTAATACAAAGAGCCACAAGATGTGTCTATAATTACTTATAACAGAAATTGTATGAGCAAGCTGAACCAAAGATTCAAATAGGGCAATGCTAACACAGAGGAAATGTTTTTAAAAATTCACATTTTATGTTGCTTGCAAATTCTCAATGTGTCACTTCAAGTTGAACTGTATAAGAGCTTATAACTACTATACGTTTATCTAATTTTAGCACAGTATATGGATTTATAGATCTATTGGCAATCTAAAACAAATAGAGCCCACTTTAAAGGTTAAAACCTATACTTTCAAGACATAAGATACAAGTCAATTAATTTTATTTCAATATAGATGGAGGATCATGTTAGCAAACTGTAGCATATACAAATTTAGCCACTCAATCACAGTCAGAAAAATGTCCTTAACATCACAAAATAGGGCTTACTAAAGGAGTATTACATTAAATAATTGGAGGAAGAGCTGTAGAGTTCCTATTACTACTTTCTTGCTGTTGTTAGGTGCTGTTGCGTTGGTTCCGACTCACAGTGACGGTATATAGGGTTTCTGAGGCTGTAAATATTTTGCAGGACCAGATAGCCTCATCTTTTTCTTGTGGAATGACTGGTGGGCTCGAACTGCCAACCTTGTGGTTTTGTCTAGTGTTTATCTGACATAGCCACCACATTCTCTATTACATTTTTAGATACAAGCAATTAAAAAGCTGCTGTTGTTACGTACCATCAAGTTGGTTCCAACTCATAGCAACCCTGTATAGGGTTTCCAAGGAGTGGCTGGTGAGCTTGAACCGCCAACTTTTCAGTCCAGTGCATTAACCTGCAGCGCCACACCAGCCAGTATCAAATTAACTTCAAATATGCATTTATTTGGAAAATTTACGGACTCTACATAGTAGACATTAGTAAATTAAAAAGCAACGCACAGATAATAAGTGAAAATAATTTGTAGCTCTTTGCTGTTGTTGTTGTGAAGTGCTCTCATGTTGACCTCATGGTGGCGTGCTTATCCTACAGTTGTTGTTATGTGCTGTGGAGTCGATTCCAACTCATAGAGACCCTGTACAGGGTTTGTTGTTGTTGTTGTTAAGTGCCGTCGAGTCGGGTCCGACCCATAGCGACCCTGTACAGGGTTTACGAGACTGTAAATCTTTATGGGAGCAGAACGCCTCATCTTTCTCCCATGGAACAGCTGGTAGTTTCAAACTGATGACCCTGAGGTTAGCAGCCTGATCCGTAACCACCACGCTACCAGAGCTCCTTTTATCCTACAGCGCCACCCCAAAACTCCTTAGTACAAAGCAATTTCAGTGAGTAAGGAATTATGACACAACTATCAAAGAACCATATATAATCTGATCCCAGGTTATATTAAATCAGGAAACATGCTTGTTCCAACTGTTTTTGTATAGAGTCAGGCTATACCTAGAGACCTGCATTTACTTCTGGGAATCAGTGCTTTTTATAATATCAGATAAATAATTGTAATCTTGCATATAAGTTCTATTTATAGAGAACTTTTGTAATAATCTTATCTGATTAAAAACAGCATACACTGAAGTATAGAGCTCTGGTAGTAAAGTGATTACGAATCGGGCTGCAAACCTCAAGGTCTGCAGTTCGAAACAACTAGTTGTTCC